TGAACTAAATAACTGAAATAACCAAAGCAACTTAACATGATGCTTCTCCCTCCTGGCTACCAAACATATGAAAAAGGCATATATGAAGAGGACGGATTCAAAATATCGTTTTCTAAAAATATAATATTGCATAGGTAAGGGGTCTGGCGTTGGCAGAGGCGTCTATTCTTCCTCCCGGTTGATGGTTTCCTGTAGTTCTCTACGTAATATACCTTTGTTTATGGTATATTCACCATATTAACCATATATTATTCGAGAATGTATCCATAAAATCAAATACTCGAATCTAGCTCGCGTCTCCTTGCAGATGAACCCACGTAAGCGAATTCAGAACACATGTCACGGGAAGGAGATCCTCATGACACCAAGACGCCATGATGAAAGGCAGGAGCGCCAAAACCAAAGGTAGGTTTTTGTTTATCTACGTAAATTGTGCCTTCCTTTTTCTTTTCTTAATGGGTGTCTTAGAATATATACAACGATTTTATATGTTTGTGGTAATGCATTGAGAGCGACCACATGATTTCTCCGCTTAATGCTAGGTTAGCCACGGTAAATGCAGACGATTTTACTTTTATTTGTGAGCGTAAACACATTATTATTATTATTATTATTATTATTATCGCTATTTTTTTTTTTTTTTTACGCTGAATCATACTTGAGGTGGTTGGTGTACAGAGGACGATTCCTTGTTTTTTTTAAGCCTTACCACTAATAAACTACACAAAAAAACTTCCATCTCTCCTTGCTCAATCAGAAACTAGGAAATTGCTCTTATCCGCTTGCGCATTGGACACACACGCCTCGCACATTCCTCATGCCACACATTCCTCATGTCATGTCACGATCTGATCTGTCACATTCCTCATGTCATGTCATGTCATGTCACGATCTGTCTCTCTGCTCCTCATGCGACGCTAATCTTTCAGTCCCACATCTCCTACTATCCTGTCTCCACTTCATAAAGCAACTCGTGTCTCTGCTCTTCCTCACTTATTCTCACTTCTCCGACTCCGTATTGGACATCCTTTCGTAGAATCCTCTTCCTTTTCCTCTGACAACATATTCTCCTTCCTCAGACGTATAAATATCCTCCTATTTGACCTAATATCCCTTCTTCCTTAACTCTCCCTCCCCCTTTTAACAATCCTTACCATATACTGTACCACGTCAGCTCCCTCTGTCGACCTCTTTTCACTACTCTACTACCCTTTGTTCTACCTCTGATTTCTTTCACACTTTAATCTAATCATTAACTAAATAAGACATTAATTTGTTTTTGTTTTGTTTTGTTTTAACCATTAGGCATTGGTATGATTCTTGAGATTAAGCAGGGTATATTAGATTATAAATTTTGTTAGTGGTTGAAGAGTATTTTCTTATTTCGTACTTACTAGTGAAATATTGATGTATATTCTCTATGGGAGAAATATATTGTCACTTGTATAAACTTAAAATTATATATGCAGAAATATTTCTACTTTTAATATCTTTAAGTAATAAATTAAATAAAAGGTTAATTTTCTTTTGTCCAAAATCCTATTCTCCAAAAGTAGCTCCTTTAGATCATAATTTACTGCTGATTATTACCACTTACCAATAAATTATTTCATAATTAACTTGCAGGCATTATAATTAGACTGCTGAACCGACTAGCACGATATATATAGCCTGCTGAAGGTGTTCATCCTCTTTCTGAATGCCCTTTCAGTTTAATGAGGGCTAAAAATAACTCACATGCTGATATCAAATTCTTATGATATTAAAAGAAGAAGAAAAACTTTGAAACTTCACTTAGGGATTTATAGCAAAGATCAGTCTTTATGTTTCTGTTATAATGCAGTGTGTGTCGAGTAGGAGGTCGTAAATGAGTTGGATACAACTTTTTAGTCAAGGATTTAAAATGGCAGCAAATATACAGTTCATTAAAAAAGGTAAAAAAAACTTTGTTCAATACCATTGTCAACATAATGTTTTTATAATGTTATTAGTGTGAGTAAATAATTAATAACAGTCTCAAGCATGTTTGACCTAGTTTGTGTTTCATGAGTCTGACAGGGAATGTAGAAATATTTAATGATGTCCTTGTATGCAATTATCGTTTTTCTGGCTCATTTAATCTGATGTGTCACACATCCCAAAACACATATAGAGTTTTGTCTATGTATATATGTATATGAGTATATGTATATGAGTCTGGGAGTGTTAAATGCAGATAAATAGGTATCCGAGAATGAGGATCTTCTCCCACAAGAACAAAAGGGAGCCAGAAACCAGGAGGGACGTATAATTCACTGCATTAAGGTCGCTGTTTATGAACTTATGTGACTGTTTTAACTGTTAGATGTAAGTGTAACATTTCTGCTGTAACTTGACAATATACCAGATGTTTAGTAAATTTCAGTGTCTTCTTCATTTGGTCGGATGATCATGCAATCTCGCACAATTAAGTCGGACCTAAAAAATATGGACAAAAAGAGCCTGTGGCATTGTGTGCATATATATTTTCACAACTACAAAGAGAGATTCAAGACTGATTGACTTGAGATGAGGAATAGATAAATATGAGTGCTATTAAATTACACATGGAAAAGATGACATTATAGGAGAGAGAAGAGTGAACAGTGGAAGGGCTAAAGAGTTCTTTCGAAGGCAAGTGGAAGGCCTCAATGAAGGGGATATCCATAGTCGGGCAAATTTGTGGTGGTGGAGATTCCGAAGAAGTCCATCTCCCGCAGCTGGTTCATGAAGGTGACCACGTGCGGCATGACCTTCTCGGCGGCGTTGAAGCGGTGGTACGTGTCATCCGAGATCTTCCTGCCCTCCGCCTTCTCCGTGGCCTCCATGACCTTGCGTGTGATGGGCATGAAGTCGAGCATGATCTGCTGAACGCTTTCGGGGTCGTTGGCCCTGTCGCGGTTCTGGGAGACCTTGCGGAAGACCTCGACGATTTCGGGCAAGACGTCGATGGTGGCGGCGACCACGTTCTCGTAGTCGCCCAGGTCGCGAGGGCTCTCGGGCTGCAGGACGCCCAGGGCTTCGTAGCCTTGTGGGGCCGCCCTTGAGAGGCAGAGCACGGCGGCTGCGATCAAAAGAACCTGTGGGAAACACGATGTGATGTCACGTCGTCGGACCGACCGACTTCTTTTGGGTTATGTGTTTGTCATACCAATTTTCACTGCACAAACATACACTCGTTCACACACTTATTTGTACAATTATTACTACATGTTTCATTATTACCGGTTCACATTTTTGAACTGCCTCTCGAATCATTTATATATATAAATCAATGATTATACTTATTTACTCTTCATGCAATCTCACTCAGTTCGTGCTATATCACATAATATATCCCTCATGCTAACTTTCAGTCACCACAATAATGCGCACAAACACTGTCACATACAATGCTACATATCCATTGTCTATACATGCCATTCGTTAACTATTCGTATCTATGCAAACGTTTACATAAAAAATGCACACACGCACACGCACATACACACGCATTCTGGAGTGTGTATGTCTAAACAAGTAACTCTTCTGGATCCAACCTTAAACGTCATGTTGCAATGCAAGGTCGAGCGACGTTGTGGGCGGGAGATGATCGAGTGTCTTCCTGGGGCGCGAGAGCTTCCTATATATACTCAGGCGGGGTTGGGGCGACGGCGGGAGAAAGGGGGGGGGGGCTACATTGCATTAAGCACTACGCTTTTACAATTTTTTTTCCCTTCTTTCCACTCCACTTTTTTTTTTCTTTGTTTTAGATGTATTCGTGGTGGGTTAAAATTATAATCCATTCTCCTTTTCTAATGATTTAGATGAACAGAGAGAGAGAGAGAGAGAGAGAGAGAGAGAGATAAGCAGACAGAAATGAAAAGAAAACCAGTCATAGCCAGGAAAAGAAAAAGAAATTTCTCGTAATAGATGTTGCCGTGGGACCTTCTGGCAACTGCTGAGGCAAGACGAACGTTATAAAAGCCACGCATTGCACTGATCTTTCATTCCAGTCTTTTGATTTCTCTAGTCAAGATGAACATTCAGGTAAGGGATTATTTTTTTCAGTAGGAAGAGGTAAGACGCTGTTTTTATTAGGGAATCAAATGTTATTTTTAATGTTTTTTTTTTTTTTTTACAAGTTTGTTATGAATTAAAGGAACTTTTAGTATGATCAGTATTTTTGCACTTTTTGCGATATGACAAAAAGGATTTTTTGTTTTCTGTTTTTATAACAGTGGCGATTGCAATTAGGCCTGTGTCAACATTATTTTACTGTTATTGTCATTGTTACCATCATTATAATTACCATTATTATCATTAAGCTCAGCGTCCACGTTTTCATGTTTTTGCTGTGGTCACTCTTGACATCATCAGTGAACCAGAAGCATGCTATTTTGTCATAATGTTCTCCTGACATCAATCTCATCGTTACCAGTCTCATTTTCAACCTTGCTTCCACACAGCCCTTAATATGCAGTTTTTTACGTTCGATTCTGCAACCATTAGGAGGATGACAGATCCACGCGGTTGACCTTGTTCTGCTTCTTGATTTACGCGCCTTCTACTTTACTTTTTTTCCTGAGAATTCTTCGAGTCAAGTCCTTTGAGGAAAACCCCGCTCCCCGCAGATCCTCCTAGCCTGTGCTGCGTGCGCGTGCGCCGCGTCCGCCCACACGTACGAGGCCCTGGGCGTGCTTCAGCCGGCGAAGCCGAGGGACTTGGGCAAATACGAGAACGTGGTGGCGGCGACCATCGACATCCTGCCCGACGTTGCCAGGACCCTGAAGGAGCTGGCCAGCAAGATGACTCGCTCTCAGGACGACCCCTTCGACGCGCAGAACATGTTGGAGATCCTGATGGCGTTCCTGCCCGTGACCCGCAGGATCCTGTTCGCCGTGGCCAAGGCCGAGGGGCGGACTGTGTCCGAGGAGGAGCTACAGAGGCTAGACCGCGCCGAGAAGATCCTTCCCTCCGCCTTCAAGTTGATCCTCGAGATGCAGGGCAGCGACTTCTTCGGCTTCGAAGACTTCCCCGCCGAGGAGGCCCCGACGGCGGACGCGAACGCCACCAGCGTCAGGGGGTCCTTCGTCCAGATGCCCCATAGGAAGGGGGTGTTCATTAACCACGGGTAGACGCAGCCGGAGTTGAGAAGAAAAAGACGCATCCAGGTCAGGATAAGGATAAAAAGCACAAGGTGTTGGATGAGAAAGAGGGAAATCCCCGAGAAGGAGGATGAGGAGCATGAAAAGTACAAGGAACTGAACAACCAGGAAGAGCACATCGTGGAAACGAGGCAGTGAGAAAAATAGACGTTTAGAAAGAGCAGTGTCTTAAAGAAAAAGAAAAAGGATAAGAGGACACCGAATGAAGAAAAGGTCGAGCAATTGCAGAAGAAATTCATTGCAACTGCATTATGGAGATCTCGGGATTCTATTGTAGGCCTACTGCACTTTTATTCTAAGGTTAATATGCATAATCCAATCACCCACTCATTGACAAACCCTACATCCTCATAATTCATTATAAAGTGTAAATAAATGAAATTAAACAGTGTAAAAAACTAAGGTATCTCACATCCCCTATAATCACCATTTGAAAGAATATATATATAGAAAGAGAGACAGAAAGAAGAGGGAGATAGAGAGAATGAATGACGTGAGAACGAAAGAGAGAAAGAAAGCAAGAGAGACAGAAAGATAGAGAGAAAGAAAAATAACGAAAGAAAGAGAGAACGAAAGACCGAAAAGAGCATAAGAAAGAAAAAGAACGCAAGAAAGGAAAACAATAAAAGAAAGAAAAAGAACGAAAGAAAGAAGAAATAGAAAGAGAAAAAAAATGATAAAGGAGCGTCCATCCCATCACGCTTTCTTCCTCAGGCTGCGAAGTTCTCCAGCTTCAGGCAGGAGCATGAACTTTCTTTTTTACTTTCTTCACTATTTTTTTTTCTGGTCAATAACGAAGCTGAAAGTATATGTACGCTCATGTATACATGCATGCGAATACACATACGCACACACATACATGCATATATACTATATATATATGTATGTGTGTGTGTGCGCATGTGTACATACATAAATATATAAATGTATATGTGTATGTATGTATGTACATATACATGCATACACACACACACACACACACACACACACACATACTCACACACACACACACACAAAGCACACGCACGCACGAGAGAGAGAGAGAGAGAGAGAGAGAGAAAGAGAGAGAGAGAGAAGAAAAGAAAAGAAAGCTAGAGAAAGAGAGACGGACACGCAGGCAGAAACGAATGGAAAACAACTTGTGATAATTAGTAGCCCACATTCCTGCGTGCCACAAGGAATCAGGCGAGTGAGCAGTTAAATGTTTAGCTCGGCCATGCGTTGCTAGAGAGAGAGAAAAAGATAGATATAGAGACAGATAGACAGATAGGTATATAGAGATAGACAGATAGGTATATAGAGTTAGACAGCTAGATAACAGATAGATAGATAACAGATAGACAGCCAGACAAACAGATAGATAGACAGAGATATTGAAGATGTGGTCGGGTGCCGTAAGAAGGAAAAGAACAATAGGCTCTTTATATACCAAATTATATGCTTGTTGTTATTTATTCATTAATTTTTATTCATATTTACTTTACATGTAAATTACTTTTAATTAACAAGAAACCTCCAAGTAGACAAAAAATGTAATTTATCAGATAACTTGAAGACAAGAAAAATATACATATGTACATAAATGTAAATGAAATGCAGTCAAATACTAGGGAAGAAGGCTTTAATGGAAATAAAATAGTAATTAGATCTTGAATAGAGGTACTGCCGAAAGGCTTGTTCGAAGGTGAGCGGGAGACCTCAATGCAGAGCCTACCAATACGCAGGCGAGGGCGTGGTGGTGGAGATTCCGAAGAAGTCCATCTCCCGCAGCTGGTTCATGAAGGTGACCACGTGCGGCATGACCTTCTCGGCGGCGTTGAAGCGGCGGTACGTGTCATCCGAGATCTTCCTGCCCTCCGCCTTCTCCGTGGCCTCCATGACCTTGCGCGTGATGGGCATGAAGTCGAGCATGATCTGCTGAACGCTTTCGGGGTCGTTAGCCCTGTCGCGGTTCTGGGAGACCTTGCGGAAGACCTCGACGATTTCGGGCAAGACGTCGATGGTGGCGGCGACCACGTTCTCATAGCCGCCCAGGTCGCGGGGGCTCTCGGGCTGCAGGACGCCAGTGGCTTGGTAGCTCTGCGGGGCCGCCTGGGTGAGGCAGAGCACGGCGGCTGCGATGAAGAGGACCTGTGGGAAACAGGAGGAGAGGACAAAGGAACTCAGTGGCGGAACATTCAGTTCAGAAACGCGGCTAGAACAGTCGTTTAAGTCACATGATATGATGCCTACTTTCACTTGACCTCACGACCGTTCACATGCTCATGGTTACATGTATTAATAGTCGACAGTTGTAAGTGTGAGCCTAACGTCATTTCCGCGATATCACAGCGGTTTTGTTACAAGGAGGTGAGGGGACATAGCGAGGGAAATCTTAATTACATAAACCCCTGCACCACGCTGACGGAACACGGAGAGTAGATTTGTGCTTTGCTTTCGAAACTGAACCATCATAATGATCTCACTGTTACATACGGCTAGATTATTTCGTGAAGACTATATGAATGCTTTGCAATACTGTTCTAATTACTTTTGAGTACTGTACTTGAAATTATGTGTGAATTAAGTAGAAAGGTAAAAAAAAAAAAAAAATCGCTTTGATAAAACTAAATATCGAAGCTACCGAAAATATTCGTTTCAGTTTTGATTATTTTTATTAATGAACACTCGTTTCTGCAATTGCGTTTATATGTTATCTGACTATTATATTTATTATTATATTAGAATCTCACAACATCGCATTGCTCATGAAATGCATTTCGACTGTCACATGCACCGTTGCATGTGACAACACTCCGGCTGAAATTGGCAAGTTGTAATACTATAGTTTGGGGCAAGACATGACGGAGAAGACGTGTGGGAAACGGCGAGTTTGGTCTTGATCTTCACATCTAAATAATGATTGTGTGTTTTCATTCCCACAGACAATAGAAATGAATGAGATATATGTTAAATCACATAATTTAAAACACAATCATTGCTGATAACGCCCCTACTCGTTCATAGTGCTTCATAAGCAAGTCAAGTTATATCTTTCGGTACCAAATCTTCCCTATTTTATGATAAAGTATATGTAAATACATTCCTACATATATATATATAAATGTACATATATAAATATATACACATCATTACATCACATCATTACATACTTATATATATATTGAATATTTCTATCATTATATAATATATATATATTATCACATATATATATCATTACATAATATACATACACACACAATTATATGTATGTAAGCATGTAGGTGTATGTAAATATACATATATTTCACGAATGACTGGAACAAATAAACACACACATTATATACGCTAATAAAAAGACGTGTTCGCGAGTGTCTTTTCATGCACACGTACTCCACCCCCTGTTCCCTTGCAGACCCCACCTTGAGCGTCATGGTGCAGTGCATGGCCGAGCGAC